TCAAAGATATATTTTGGGCAGGAATGTCAACAACTCAGCGTAGTGAAAGCATGCATGCCTTTTTTGATAACGATATCAATTCGAAAACCACTTTGAAACAGTTTGTTAAACAATATGAGAATGCATTGGCAAAAAAGGTCGAAAATGAAAATCTTGAGGAATTCAATTCTTTTAGCTCATGCATCCCATGTATAAGTCATTATGAGATAGAGAAGCAATTTCAAAGTGCTTACTCGAAAGCAAAATTCAAAGAGTCCCAGCGAGAGATATTAGGAAGGATTTATTGTGATTTGACTACATGTAAAGAAGGTTGTGGCATTTCAGAATATACAATTGATGAATATGTCAAAGTTGGAGAGAGCCATTAATGTGCAACTTTCATTGTTGTTTTTAAGGATGATACAAAATAAGTTAATTGCAATTGTCGATTATTTGAATTTAGGGGAATATTGTGCAAGGATCAAATCACAGTCTTCATGCATAAAAAGATTGACCAAGTACTGGAGAAGTACATCTTGAGGAGATGGGATAAAAATGTTAAAAGGAGCTACATGAAAGTTCGGATTAGTTATGCCAATTGTTCTAGCAAACCTGAAGCACATCGATTTAATAAAATTTGCAATGCCTTTTATGAGGTTGCCAATTTTGGGGCATGTAGCATTACTGTTTTCCAATAATCCACTGACTCCACAATCAAACAGCAGATTGTCGCGTCAGCAGATCATTTTACTTACAAGTGTGTATAAATTTACGGCCAAAACTATTAATTTACCTATTTTTTTATTTTATAAATTATTTTATTTCACTCTTTTTCATTAAAAAAAAAAGTTAAAAAATTATTCTCAAACATACTAATTTTTTTCCTCTCATATTTTAGTTAAAAAATAAAAAATAAAAATTACTAAAATAATTTGTTCCTAAACAAGACCTTACTGTAGTTATTGAAATTATAAAAAATTATCTAAGGTATCCATTTAATAATAAGAAAATATATTATTATTATTTATTTGAAAAATAAGAAGAAAAAAAAGTCATATATCTCGTTAATATTGGAAAAGCACGGTACGTATTCTATATATAATTTCTCAAACAGAGCTAATTGTTTAAATGAAAATGAGGAGTTTATTGCAATTATAATCATGGCCTGATTGGAAAAATAGTATCTTCTATGGGATTAGTATTTTTACATCTTTACGCTTTTTACCCTTCCTTCACAACCATCCTTCCATCATCAATGTTATTCCCTCCTCCATTTCTTTCCTCACAATGCAGTTTTCTTAACCAACCCCCCCCCCCTTTTTTTTTTAAAAAAAAAAAGAAGAACAAGAAAAGATTAACAATGAAGCCCACAAAAAAGGATTGTCTTTTGCATTTTGTGGTTCTCTCTCTATTTCAAGCTGCGAAATCGCTTCTTGTAACTGGTTTTGAATTTGATCTCATGTTTTGTTTTTCTCTGGTTCTTCTTTTAAAATCACACATTGGATTCGCTCGAATTGATAGACTTGTTGTTGTCTCCATCTTCATCGACTACTATAATTTCCTTTCGATCATTGTAAAAAAAAATTATGGCGAAGGATAGTGACTCACTCATCAAAAACACTCTTCTCCCTCTGCCCAAAAAATGAAAAGAAACTAATCCAAATAGTTTTAGTTGTATTCGGATCTTATATTTTGAATCCCAAAAAAAATAAAAAGGGTATCAATTCTCAACCTCCGTGTGTGGACTTATCCCGAGCCTACTTTAATGATTTAAATAATTTCTATTATAAGATCCATGATCATCTCAATAAAAATAATTTGGGAGACAAAAAGGTCATTTGTGAAAAAAAAGGTACAGTATCTTAAGTGTCACTTCAGTTGATAATAGAATGTAATTTCCTTTACATTTTAAGTATAGTTTATGGGATTTAAGTCATAAAATTCCTAGAGAATTATTGCAAAGATCTCACAAAAATAACAGAGAGATTTAGTCATCTCATCAACTCAACAATCTCTCTCATATAAAGCCAGTTAGAATTTGCAAAGCAAACTCGTTTTTATGTTGAAAACTGATTGAAAGTGAAACAAGTTTGTTTCCACCCAAACACGTTTTAAATCATATGTTAATTTTAATTGGCCAACACCATAACACAGAGCAACCCTTAAAATTATGACATTAACCCAAAACCCATTACACATTCCTTTCATCCTTCTAATTTGTATCATTCAAACTTGTTCATTTTAAGATTGTAATAGTAAATTTAAATTTTAACTTATCTGTATTTTGAACTGATCATGAGTCAAGCTTGAATTACTTGATCTCTTTTATTATATATAACTTTATTAGTATTATTATCGAACTGAGTTGGTGAGTAAAAGTCAAAAAATTAATAAGTTTCAAAGTGTAAAATTTCTTATTTGATTACACATCTTGAATTCATTTTTAAAAAGTTCAACGCAAATTGTGCACTTTTTGTGCCAAAAATTGGTCACACGCTTCATTTTCTATGTCAAAAATTATGTGTCCCTAAGAGCATCTTTAACGGTGTATCAATTTTTTCATTAAATTTAAGTAAAAATTTCATTTGATATCAAGTGCTCCAACGGATAATTTTGGAGCTTCATCAGAACACTGGTCGACTGAGCAGATGTCCCGCCAATTGACTGGCTAGCGTAAATTTTTTTTTTTTGCCTTGGGTGGTTGACCGGGCGGCTGACCAGCCAGTGCAATTTTTTCACAAATTTTTGTCTTGAGGTGGTCATCCGAGAGGACATCCAGGGGACATCCGGCAACAGCAATAAACAGTGATTTGATGAAAGACACATTTGTCCTCAATTTGATACCTATTTGATGCAACCGTTGGAGGGAAAAAAAAAAAAAAAAAAATCATTTGTCATCAAATTCAAATTTGATGAAAGATTTGAGTAATCATTGGAAATAATCTAATCTAACACTATTATTAGAAGTCAGAAATTTGTGCATAAGTAGTTCTTTTTGAATTATCTTACACCGTGGCAACAGGAAAAAAAAGTTTCTCTCTTATACTAAATGGTCACAATTGTTTTTATCCCAAAAACATTTTGATTTCTCAAATGATATATAATTTATCATACCAACATTTTTGGTAAATTTGCAAAATAACAATAAATGTTTACACAGATTGCCTTCCATCGGCTTAGTCACCAAAACTATTAATAATAGTAATAAAATAATTAAGCCACGTGATGACTCAAGCTTTCAATGCATAATATCATGACATTGATATTGGTCTAATTATATCCCCTCATTAACTTTGTTTATGTGTTCAAGCAATGTGTTTGTTTACACTAAAAATATGTAAATTTGAAGATAATTCCCTCCTGAAATTTTGGTTTGAAAATTAAACACTAAAAGTTTTTGATTTTGATTGGCTGATGTTATATGGGGCCAGGGATGAGATTGTTTATTTGCTATTGAGATTTTCTACTTTTCTCTTAATTTTCCATAAGCATAAGTGAAGTAAAAAATATACAATATTTATAAGTTATATTAATATACACTCTAAATTATATATGTTAACAATATTTTTTATGAATAAAATTAGGAGAAATATATTGCAATAATGCCACGATTTTTTATTTATATTTTTAAAAAAAATTCTCAATCAGAAATCATCTGATAAAATTATGGGAAAATTAGTCTGAGGTCCCTCTCCCATTTTTAGTAATGGAAGAGATTCACAATATTATTTTATTATGTCTAAGGTCTCTTAACCCCACATCCATATATCACAGAGAAATTGGACTCTCTCACAAAAAAACACTTACTGTCATGTGGCTGCTTAGCCAATCACTAGCCTTAAATTCAGCCAAACCCACCATTTCCACATTTAAACTCATCTCTCTCTGCTTCCAATCTCTACCCATGTTAGCCATGTCAATAGCTGTCCTTCTTCCCCTTATCTGGAAATTCTCGTTCGGGTTCGAACCCAACTCAATTTTCACTGCAGTCTCATTCATCTTCCTCACGTCGAAAGGCTGAAGAACTGACCCCGTTGAGAGCGGGTTCCTCTTCTAGAACACAGAGACGCTGAAGGTTTCGAACTTCAGGTTTATCTTCTTGTTCCGATTCGTTACGGTCAATTGGACTTCGTATCGGGCATTTTTCTGCGAGTCGGAGATGTTGAAGTTGGATACAGAGAGTGAGTCAACGTAGAAGACGAGTTCTTGTGGGTGAAGAATGAGCCACGTGATGCAGCCAACAGCGATGATTGCAACGAATAGTATCACAGATGGAATGCTTACAGCCAAAACCAGTGACTTACCACCTCCGACGCCAATGGAAACCATCTTGCCGGCGAACATGCCTAGGACGAACCCACTATTTGGGGAAAAAATTCAAATTCTCACTAGACCAACTTCTCTCATTTGACTAAATAACTAGATCATGGATACAAACTAGTTTAATGGAACAACCATGAATCACAAACCCACTGTGAATCACAAGCCAACCATCGAGGGAGAGCTTTCTCTCAAGCCCCTACTTTCTGGGATTTTCTCTGGGTTGTGGAGTCCAGAGAAATTCTTTGGGTTGAGAGAATTTCTCTGGAAATATTTGTCTGGGAATTTTCTCTAGGTTATGGAGTCTAGAGAAATTCTCTAGGTGAGAGAATATCTGGAAATGTTTGTTTGAGAATTTCTCTAGGTTTCGGGAGTCCAGAGAAATTTTGAAATTTCTCTACACCGAATTTTCTCTGGATCAATGTTGAGGGACCTTAGACATTATGAAAATATTGAGTGTCCTTTATACTATAAAATCTTAATACTAGGGATCTTAAAAAAAATTCCCCTAAAATTATTGCATATTTATAGAAAATTTTATAATTTTAATTACTTATATTTATAAATTTTATCATTTATTTGTAATTATTTTTTAAGTTTTACACTAAATTCTATTTTGGGGATTTTTTTTCTTTTTCGATCTTTAGCCCAACACTTCAAAGTGATATTGGGCTTGGGCCGCCCATAGGTTAAACAATAAAGGCCTTGTAGACATGAGACCCAATTTGAAGTCCATTTCGATTCTTCATCGTCTCTCTCTTCTCTTGCAAACACTAGTTTGCAAATTAGGGTTTTGGATTGTGAATCCCCAATTTGCTCTTGCCCTGCGATTCTCGACCAATCGATCAATCTCTGTTCATCAAACGATGAAGCGTCAATTCTCCAAAGACAACCCTAATGGAAGGAGAGAGAAGATCGACGGTTCAAGTTCAATCAATCAGAAGAAGATTAAGAAGAAGAACGTGATGAGATTGGGAGGGGGTGGTCTCTCGCTCGAAACGTTCGCCAATGCAAAAACGAAATCCAATCAATACAACCCCGCCTTGATTAGTATATTCACCTCTCTCTCTCTCTCTCTCTCTCTCTCGCCTCTATTCCATTCTGTATCACAAGCTCATGTGTTCTTAATCAAATTTGGAACCATCTGTTCTCTCTATTTGATATCTGCTTTGAAATAATGGGTTTGATTGATTTAGCTGTTTTACATTGAAATAGTTTGTATTGTTGATAACTCTAGCCAATTGTAGTGGTGTTCGAGTTCAAAGTCTAATTTTTCATGTTTCTCAGGCTGTGTTTGGTTCAAGGATTTGAGGAGGGATTTGAAAATAAAAAGGACATTTCACCGGTTTTGATTGAAATGACAAATCCATGAACCAAACGTAGCCTAATGAAAATTTCAAATTGAAATGACCAAAAATTATCCGAAAATGTTTCTGTTAACCTTCCATATATCTATCCATGTTCCAAGCATGTTTCTTGGTTTCATGTCATTTTTGTTTTGATTCATATACTGATGAAGTACATGGCATGAGCCAGTTTGTGAACTTGATTTATGCGAACAAAATTTGAGCTTGTATGGTTTTCTTCGCTTTTCCTATACCAATACTTTTCGGTTAAGAACTTGGAGATTTGGGAACCTTTCAATATAAGCAACACAGAATAGAAGATGGAGGGACATTGAATATATAGTTTCTCAACAAAATACAATCACTTAGGAATATAGTTGTTTGTATCACAGCTTGTTAGTTTGAGAAATGGGAGTGGCAAAAGAACTATAAAAAAAATTGTCATGAACTAGCGATCATCAACTTCTGTAAACATTCGTGTAGTATGGGCAAATATTCACATTGGCAGTGGTTTGCATTGATCTCATCCTCCTCGAGTTTACTCCCTTTATTAATTTTTTCTTGATTGTGCATAATTACATCTTTATTTAGAAACAAATTTATACTGTTTAACTATTTTTTCTTTTTCACAGAGAAGCAAAGGGAATTTTATAAGAACGCCAAATATGTGAGCAAGTATAAGAAGTCACTAAAGCAACAAAGCCAACAGAATGATCGTTACCCAGCTTTGAGACCGCTAGAGGTCTGAATTCCTTTCTATTTAATCTGATTGTTTGCTTGTGTTGTTCGGGTATTGTTGAAAATTTCCCATTTTTTTAAAAAATATCACTTCTTTCATTGTTGATATACCTTTAATATCCTAAATGGTCTCGGGTGTGCATTTTTTGTTGTTATTACAGGATGAGAATGAAACTGAAATAGCTGGTGAAATGAACAAGAAAAACAAGAACTACAAGAAGAGTTCACAAAGTTTGCAAGAATTGTACAAGAAGAAGCGCGAGGAGGAAGAGAAGGCAAAGATTGAAAGAGATGCCATTATTCAAGCAAAGAAGGAAGAAAGAGAGAGAGCTGAATCTCGAAGAAAAGCTTTAAGAGGGAAGATGTTGAAGAAAACAAGGTCTGGTCAGCCTATCATGAAGTACAGAATTGAGCATCTTTTGGAGACAATTCGACAAGGTTCAACTAATTAGGTTATGGATGTGCTCTTATGACTTCAGTTAAAGAAAAATCCATAGTTGTGAGACTTCTGGGATGTTGTAGTGTTATTGTTTTGAAGACTTTAGATCCAGCTGCTTTGACATATTTGTGCAACTAATGAGAAGAATTACAGGCTTTGTAAAGAAGTTTGCATTATTCACCACACCATTCTTTCTGTATGCTATGTTACTGGAAAAGTGGGGGAAAAACAAAGAAAAACAAATTTTATACTAATTACTCCAATTGATCTGCACTCGCTCCAATTGATTTCTGCTTAGTGGTTTCACTCACACTACACCAAATTAAGATTTTAGGGATAAATTTAAAAATAAAATTACATTTTAAGAACGAAATATTTTTATTATTGCAAGTGTTATTATTATGTTTTTTGCAAGAAAAATAGACATTTAATGATGAAGTATTATTTTTTGGGTATTAAAATTTTTTTTTAAAATAAAATAATATAAAAAAACCTTTTTAAGATCAAATTATTGCCATGCATTTATTAGCAAAATTTTCAAAATGTTATTGCTAAAAGTCTTAGTTATTTTTCGGCTCAACTTTTTAGTGACTATCATCGCAACAACATGAATTGATCTCCAAATATTTGTTACAATAAAATTTTCACTTTTGAAAACAAAAAAATTAATCTCTTAAACTCTAATATGTTGTAACATCACCATGCATCCATGTTTATATGCATTTAATTTGATTGAATTCATTAGCATTGTCTAAAATCTTGTTCATTAAGTTGGTAATGCTTACTACAGTTGAGCTTGACAACACGATCGGAAACCAAATCCATGTTGGTATTCCTCTAGTATGCGAGTACAAGACAGAAGCAAAGACAGGAGTGAGACATTGTGAATGTAAAATCGCGACTAAATTAGCTTGCAATTATTTCCATTCCGGGATAAGAGAATCTTAAGCAGATTTGTAGGTGATATGAAGAAAGGATATTGTGCACTGGCAAGAGAATGAAAATGAAAATGCAAATCATAAACCGTGATCCAATGGAGGGTTAAAGGAAACTAATAGTAAGCTTACAAATAAATTCATGAACGAAGTTCCACACTAGAAAGGTAACGCCAAGACAAAAAAATAGCATCCAAGCTTGAAATATAAGTAGGCTGTACCAAAGTGTTATCTATTAAGGTAACACGGTACAGTTATCCCTTATAATTGAGAAATCGGAAAAGTAATCAAATTTTGAATCAGAATATATGGATCTAAGCCGAAATTAAAACTCAACGGTTCCCTATCAGAGAAGACACATGGACCTATGAGTACTTCTGTACTGCCAAGTTTGGCCATCAGGAGGCTAAGAACCAGTAGTTGGAACAGAATTAGATTCTGATGATCCAACTATTTCTTCAAAAACTTCCATGTCAATTGTCATATCATCATTAACATCAGCTTCCTCTACTTCTGTTGTTACTTCATCATTGCCACCTATTACATGTTCAACCCCATTTTCTACCGGATTAGAGGCCACCTGAGGTTCCTCACCTCTTTCCTGAGGTTCCTCATCTCTTTTGTCAATTTCCTCGGGTTTTTGCATCATTGCAGGTGGATATGGATCAGCAGAGATTGTCAGAGTAGATGTCACCAACAAATTCTACAAGCAGAGAAAATAAATGAGTCATCATCTGGAAAGTATTCCGGCGTAATCAAAGTTTTGAGATGTTCAAATGGGGTATCTGGAGAAATATCCCATTCTGGATTTGTTAATGACTGTAGCATACTGAAAAAACTACAGCTAGCAACTCCAAAGGTTTGTACTAAACGAGAATCGAATCAAAATATGAGATTGTATGGCTATGTCACAAAGGGATACACCACTCATACACCCCCTACATATCATAAGCACAAGTTTTTTCAACTCAATTATATGCACACATGCATTATATATGGCTTTTCTGACTATTTACTAGCTAATAGACCCTGAAAAATTGTTCAAATCATACATGATATTAAACATCCAGCTGAAACATGCTATTCTAAGGAAAGGGACCTTGAGTAGCTCTACTATATTTGAAAATTTGTTTGCAGTCAGGCCTCAGCAAAGATTCACTTTTCAGAAGGAAATAATAGATGCAAATGTCAATGCACCACTGAAGACATATTGTCTACTTCAACAATATTTCACGCCTGTAAAAAATTCAAGATGCCATTTTAAATAGGCCAAACCAAAAAACACACCTACATACCTTTTCTAGTGCTAGAGCAAGTTTCGAGAGATTTGGATAAATGCTTCTCGCACTCAAAAGGATCTGATTCACAGAAGGTTCAATGAAATGAGTCATACGGAAACATAATACGACTTAGATACAGATATTTGCTAGGCATAACATATATTTAAACATAGAGAGTAGTAAGCAATTGTTTCAGCAAAAATAAGCCCAACATGAAACAACCCTAGGATGCCCTTCCCTCCACAAGGCAATCTCCAAAACTAACAAACAAATAAAATTTGTGATTTCACTGATTCAAAACCTCAAATAAGGTTTGAACCATCACCAGAATTCAGTGCACAGTAGTAACCAATTAGGAGATTGTTGAAGTTATTAGGCAGGGTACAACAAAATGAAACATGATACTCATAATGGACAAGTATGATCACCTCACAAAGCCTCTGCAGGGTAAAAGAAGGACCTTCTATAAAGCTGAGAAGAGCTGCAGAGGAGAATAAACATTCTGTGAATGCTTTCAACAATATCTTACCAAAATTTCAGATTAGGAGAACAAATACATACATAGCTAGAAAATATCACTAATATACACAATCACAAATATCCAAAATATCCATCAGTATTATGGAGTTATGCCCAACACCCTTCCAGCCTTTATAATGGTTTACTATGCATGAATTCAACAGAGATATGGCTCTTAACAGAGTTGACAGAAATAGAAAGTTACAAGTAACTAGCCATAAGGAGCAGGTTTTGAGACCTTTTGAGATCAGTGAAGAGTATGGTTACAAGCATTCAGGGAACCAATACAAAGAAGTTATATTTTGATTTTCTCCTGTTTTTCATTTTTTATTTTTGAAGAAAAAAAAAATGAAATAATATTTATGACTCATACAATATATAATCTTGAAGTATACAAACAAAAGAAAGAACTTGCAAATGCATGACATGCGAAGCTACATATGAATTTCTAAATTTGTACTAGCCTATGATCTTTTCCTCACGTCATTTAAGTTTGTTGGTAAAGCAGAAACACATGCGTATCAGATTAGGAAAATACAATTTAAGCATTCCACTGCTAATTGGAAACACATGGCCATTATAGGGCTAAGGGCCAAGCATTATCAATGGAGAAGGATTCTACTCGAGCAAAGAGTCAAAACAACTCAACCATGCATGGATCAAGCATGGTTAAAGAACACCCAAGGACTTCATGAGCTCACTTTAAAGAACATCCAAAGGGAATAGGCAAAAAAAAAAAATTCCAAGCCACTTGCCAAGTGAAATCCTGAAGTAAAGTTCTATTAAAAGAAGGAATCATATAAACCCCAAAAGTTGTAGGGAAGTTTCCATGAAGATCTGGTTCTTGATTTTGATCACTCTGGCTTAAGCCTGTCTGCTTAAATCAAAAATTACTTCCCCCCTCTAGCTAAAACTGTGGGCAAGGGGATGGGGAACCCAAAATAACAAAACAAAAACAATATGCACAAACACCAATAAATAAATAAAATTTCAAAGAACAGAAATTAGCCCATTAGAAAGATCAAATATTAGCTGCAGATGCCACAATTTTGCTTTTTCTTCAAATCGCCATAATTTTCATTACCACCATGGCATCACCAAAGACTTTGCTTCATACAATCGTATTGAAATTAGTCTCGAGCGACGCCACAAAACATCACAATCAGACAGATATAGCACTAATAAGGAGACAAATTAAAGATTTTATATGTATACGTGAAATTTATGTCAGAAGTGAACATCATCGAGTAACAGAATGTGGTGACAAAGACCTGAACAGAATGATATTAATAAGGAAATCTAGAAAACATCATCGAGTAACAGAATGTGGTGACAAAGACCTGAACAGAATGATATTAATAAGGAAATCTAGAATAAAGGGTCTTCTTTTCTTTAGGTTGGGGGTTGAGGGTGTTGGGTGAATATCTTACATTCACTTGTGTCTACATGTGTAATCAGAATATTGATAGAAGCCCCAGAAACAAAGTTTATGCATCAACTCCATGCTTTGGTCCACAAACACCAGAACATTTCATGCAAAATGAAATAATACAACTTATGGATGTAATTTTATACTAAGGTACAAACTTACCAAAATTTCCCAGTTGAAGCAATAACTTCAAGTATAGTTCTGGCTTCTTCTTCGCCAATCTCATGCTTGTATTCCATTCCTCTGGAATTTTATGTATAATAAGGCTTTAGTAAATCAAATATAGTATGAAGACCCTCATAAAAACTTGCACATAAAGCTTTCAAAAAGTTGTTAGGTATTTGAATTGAAGACATATAATCAACTCTTTGCTCCACACAAACCCACTGGAAGGGTAGGAGAAGAAAGAAACAAAGAAGAAGAATAAGAAGAAGAAAGAGGGTGGATGAAGAGAAAAAAAAAAAAAAAGTATTGCATTTGCATTTCCTCCTACATTACCATTAAAAAACAAAATAAGAAAATACAGATTCAGTGATTTCTATAAAGTTCCATTGTTCCTCAATGTGAATATATGTATATTTCTAGCAAGCACTAATCTTGAACAATCTCACGCATCCAGGCAGATTCTATTAATCTTCCCCGATACCTTATTGCTATAACCACATCTCCAAATAGTTGCTTCTGATTTCAAATTTCTATCACTTCGCTCCACAATGTAATGTTCAATCATCTCTACAATTAGACAAATTTAACACAACAGACTTAATCGGCATAGCATAGATACAAACAAGCATGATTGGGACATACGAACACTGCAGATCTTAAAGAAGTAGGACATGGCAGCATATCCTACATTTATATATCTGTTGTGGATATTATATAAGAAAAATATGAAATCTAGTTTTCTACTAAAAATTGCAAAATGCGGAACATGAAGCTTCACAAATATTATATATATATATACACACCAATTACTTGTTTTCTTACTACATTTCAAATAATGAAAAAGGATGTAGAGGAAAAAGAAGGTATAAAATTACAGATAAGATATCTTCCACAAAGCAAAATCATTGCAAGCACAAACAAAGCTTGCTTGTACTAAGATTTCTGGATGTCAAAATAACCAAAATGAAATGATCGACTATCCAGGCAAAAGTATCATGTACCCTTGATCTGCAACATCAGGAACCATATTGTCATGGTGATGGTCAACATCATTGGAAGAAACAGTTAAATGCTGTGAATTATCATTTGAGGATATTTCCATTGCCATTCCTCTGCCAGCATGAAATGACAAAAACAATATTAAGATTTAAAAGATACTGCAGCTATAAGAACCGTTTGTGACAATATATAATTAAACTAATTTACTATTTGAAATGATTAAATACAAAAGATCTTCAGAGGGATAACGGGCTATGCTGATATCTTAATTTCAAGCAGCAATAAAAATGACAGAACTTGCATCAACCAATTATAAGCCCCGTTTGGTAGAGCTATGGAAAAATGATTATAACTTATAGCCTAACAGCTTATAGCTTATAACTGTGAACATAAGCTGATTTTTTACTTATAAATTAAGCTTCTCCTCCCCCACTCAAAGAATAAGTTAATTTTTGACTTACAAAAAGTTATAAGTTGTATTATTAAACTGAACCAAACAAATCAAAATAGCTTAAATTAAGTTAAAAACTGAAATAAGCTGGCAATAAACCCTACCAAACAGGGCCATAGTATAATCCATTAGAATATGTGCAATGGTAAAACCTTGGCCTATTAACCTTGAGATTATGGGTTCAACCCTCGAGCAACCACTTTGTGCACTATGTATACTCAATTTTTCCCCTTTCAAACAAACATTAATATGTACTAATTAGGCATGGTTGTACATTAGAAGATGTGCAACAGCATATATTTTTCCTCCAATCATATCAACAATTAAAATTGAAAACTTGAGATAAAATATTAACAAGCAAAATAATTTGAACACAAAAAAAAAAAAAAGGAAAAGAAAAGGAGATGGTGATTTCCAAAGTTTGGTAAGTTCCCTCGGTCAGACTCAGAGTTTACTTCATAAATTTTGGAATCAGCACTAACTTCTTCACAATCTAATGAGGCCCATCTCCATCCTGTGCAATATGATAACAAAAAATTCACAAAAACCCAAATAATAAAAGGAAGGGGAAAAAAATCATGTGTTTCTAAATTTATCCCAATAATTAATTACAGGAAAATCATAAACTTTTTCTAGTTTCTCCACTTCCAATTCATTCTTTGATTTTTTTTCCCAAAACCCTAATTTGCAGAAGGCAAAAAAGAGAAACCCATGAATCGTTAAAGAGCTGATTTCAACAGTAGATAAATTATTGAAAGAATCAAACTTTCTTCTTCTTCTTCTTCTTTTTTCTCTATGCGAGTGATTTCTCCGTAACGAAACGGTGAAAGAAAAAGATCTAGGGAACGAAGAAGAGGAAGAAAAAAAAAAAAGAGAAGTAATAGTGAATGGAGGGCACTTACATGGCACCGATTTCGGAATCAACTCTGAGACCTGAATCCCTCTCCCTCCCTCTCTCTCTGTCTCTCTCCCTCAATCAATCAATCCCTGGATTCAAGTATTGGTGATATTTATGTTTGCCTCTGTGTTTTTTTTTTTTTTTACACATTTTAATTTTTCCTTATATTTTATTTTTGGATTAATTTATTTTTTATTTTTCTCACTATTTTTTGTATTTCATCTCTAAACTATTTATTTTGTCTATTAGTTTTAAATTTTTGTCTATATAGCTTAATTAGTATAAATTAATAATTATTAAATTCTAAATTGATGGGTAAAAATATAATTTTATAATGGGTAAATTACAAACACATCCATTGAAGTTTACTTAAATTACAAATTACCCTATGTGTTATACCTCCTAAAATTTCTAATTTCATAACAAATAAGTTCTTTTATTAATAAATTATCAAGTTAATTACTAGCTTTTAAAATTTTATTTTAATAATGTGAGAGAGAGATTCACAATCTGGCTTTGGGCCGTGGTAGAGACCGAACAGAAAAGAGGTCCGAGCGCGTTTGGGCCGAGCTAACTTGGGCTAGTCCAGAGTTGGTTTGCTCGGTTGAGGTCCAGGGCTCATTTGGCCGAGATTATCGTCCGTCAACCTGGGCTTATTGGTCGCTCGTGTAGCTCGGCGGAAAGGTCTCCCTTGGACCGGCTTAACCTGTGTGGAGCTCGGGCGTACTGGAATGCTACGAAACTCGGTTGTGATGGAGCTCGGCAAGTGGCACTGTTGGGCTCGTTAAGTAGCTCGATCGAAGGAGGCCGAGATAATTCCGCCGGGCTGCCCGTTCCTACCAATGTCGTCCAGCGATTTGATTAGGTGATGTTTAGCTGGATTTGCGCTGACAGATAGGAGACCAACTCCACGTGTCAATAGACGAATGGGTGCAAAGGTGAACGCAGAAAGTATATAAGCATGACTGCGCGCTCCATGCTGAGGATGAAACATCATTTGGTGAGATAGACTTACATTCATTGAGCTTCTCTCTCTCTCTCTCTCTCTCTCTCTCTCTCTCTGAGTGTGTGCTAACTTGACCGTCGGAGGGGTTTCCAGTAACACACTGTCGGATAACTCACCGCCATTGTGTTTTCAAGTTGATCGAATAGACACGAAGCTTGGACAAAAGGAATACGGACAGTGACGCATATTTCCTCCCCGTACAGATGGGTAAAAAGATAATTTTATAATGGGTAAATTACAAACACATCCCTTGAAGTTTACTTAAATTACAAATTACCCTATGTGTTATACCCCCTAAAATTTCTAATTTCAAGTTAATTATCATTTTTTAATAATGTTAAAATTTTATTCCAATTAATAATTTAGATAATTTTATTATTACATAGGTGAACAGTTAGAAATTTTACTTTTTCAATTAATTCTGTTAAATAAAAAATTCTGACAATGGGGTATTTGTAATATTCCAAACTACAGAGGGTAATTCGTATTTTAAGCAAATCTTAGAAGATGTATTTGTAATTTACCCTTTTATAATTTTGACAACTTACATTATAGAGTAAATTACAAATATACTCCTTGAGATTTGCTTAAAATGCAGATTGTCCCCTGTGGTTTGAAAAATTACAAATACCCCCTTATTATAATTTTTTATTTAACAGAATTAACTAAAAACGAAATTCATAATTGCTCTCCTATACAATAATAAAATTACCTAAATTATTAATTAAAACATATTTTTAACATAATTAAAAGTTGTTAATTGACTTGATGATTTATTAATAAAAGAGGTGATTTGTTATGAAATTAGAAACCTCAAAGGGTGGGATGTAATTTTTAAAATCACAAGGGGCAATTTATATTTTAATCAAATCTTAGGGGGTGTATTTGTAATTTATCCTAAATTATATAAACAAACACTATTAAATTGGTTCTGAGATATAATTTGTTCAAAATAACAAAAAAAATAAATATTTTTTATTGGGTTTTTTTTAATGCCCCTGGTATTATGATTTTATAGCATAAAAGACACTCAATATTTTTATAATGTCTAAGGTCCCTCAATGTCAATCTAGAGAAAATTCGATCCAGAGAAAATTCGATCCAGAGAAAATTCAACCAGAGAAAATTTAATCTAGTGAAATTCTTTGGTCCAAACTCAGAGAAAATTCAATTTAATCTAGAAAAATTCTCTGGTCCAAACCAGAGAAAATTCAATTCAGTGAAATTCTTTGGTCCAAAACTAGAGAAAATTCAATTTAATCCAAAGAAATTCTCTGGTCCAAACCAGAGAAAATTCAATTCAGAAAAATTCACTCTGGTCGAATTTTCTCTGGGTTGGTCTCGAGAAATTCTCTAGTTTGGTCCATAGGAGAAATTTCAAACAAGTAGTAATTAGTAGAGAGTATTGCCAAGCTTATACTAAGCACTCTAAGCAAGTTATAACCAGAACGATCACAAGCCTACATTAACTTGCCTACTAGTGTGCGAGTGAGAATTTAAAGGACTCAGAAACTGAAATATTCATTCAAAACTTCAGGAAATTCAGACTGTATGTCGCTATCTCTATCCAATATGGCCTCTACAAATGAATTTGCAGAAGAAGTTGAAGCAACTGCAGAACAGTACCCATCCTCAGCTTAGCTGTGGCGCAGTGTTGATGCAAGCCTGCGATAGGGAGAAGACATATAGGTTTTCCAGATCTAGACTGTGGTGATGGTGATGCAGAGACGACAGAGCAACGAGGATGACAGGGGGTAGGTCACCTAAGCTGGGGATGGCAAAGGAGCTGCAGTCGAAGCTAGTAATGGTTACGGTAAGAAGAGGAGAGGGGTGGTGCTTGGTGGTCCAGACGAGTTTCAGAAACAGCATCATTATTATCTTCATCCCTATAGGATTCAAAATGAGGGGTTAGCTCTTCGTTTAGATCGGACACGGAAGGAGAGACAAAGAGGGGATATGTTTAGGGACCTTAGACATCAAAAAATAATTTTGTGAATCTCTTCCATTACGAAAAGCGGGAGAGGAATCCTAGACTAATTTTCCTTCTTTTTTTTTTTTGTATGATTGACTAGATCCTTTAATTTTTTTCAAAAAAACGATATAGAAAATAATTGATGGTACTCTACAAAAATTATGAAACTCCTTTATATAAATACTTACCTCATTTTCTATGGGTTGCTTCAAAAAACTATCACTTTGTTTGGTTTTAGTTTTTTGAAAACACTTTTTAAAAAATTCTACTTTCTTGTTTTTTGTATTTTTTTATTTTTACTAATTTTTTTAATATTTTAAGCAATTTTTAAAATTTTTAGGCATACCTAACACAAATACACTTAAAAAGTATATTTTTTGTGAAAACAATCTTTCGAAAATTCACTAAATACTAAAAATAAGAAAAAAAATTATGAATACTTAGTATATTTTTCGTATTTTTGTGTATTTATTAATTTTTTAAAATATTTTTTCACAATTATTTTACTTTTTAGATACATCTAAGTAAGTAAGGTGCATCTAAACAAGCAAAAAAAATCTTAAAATTGTAAAAATATTTACTAAAAACAAAAAAATATGAAAAATAAAAAATTTAATTTTCGGAAAACTGAATCCAAACACACAAATTATTTTTTTATACAAATTGTAAGCTATATTGTTGTATTTATTTTTTATTGCTTTGTTCATACCCAAAAAAAAAAAAAATTGTGTTGGGCCTATGACGTGCAGCCCATTGTCACATGACGCAGTACTCTTTCCTGGGTACCCGTAGATTGGGCTAAATATATTTTTTTTATATATTTTTTAAAATTTAAAACACAATGTGTGTATATATATTTTTTATTCCTACGTCATTAGCCTACAAGGCCATTGACCAATGAGCAAAATGTTGATATTGTCGGTTTCTAATCAAAATTTTTTGAGAAGACGAATGAAACCCGAGGAAAGAGACCAATATTCTAATTTAAAATACAATTACCATGGGAGATTATCAACAAAAATTTGAGTGAATTTTTAATAATGAAATTGTGTTTGGATTTATGAATTTAAAACGAAAAGATTTTATATTCAAAGAAGCATAATGAAAAAATTTTACACTATTTACATTCCAAGAAGTATAACTCATTTAAATATAAATTTTTAGCATGCAACTTTAAGTGGTGAAAACATTTTCATTGGATTAAATGGTGGTTCAACTTCATATTTTGAATAATGTAATGTTGGTTTATTAAAATGAAGTTAAAAACATATGATTATTTCATTAAAATATTTTCACATTTAATTTATCAAAAATATAATAAAGAATGTATCGCAAATAAATCATTTCATAAAGAAGCTAAAGAGTACCAGTGGCAAATTCAATCTCAACCTGCCCCATTACTAGGGATGCAACTTGGGCGGGTTCGGTCCGATTAGGAGATTGTCTAAGTCCAGTCCAAGTTGTGCTAAGACCTGCTCAAGCCCGAATTGTAGCCCAAGATTATCTACCCAAGCCGACCCGAGTTAAACCCGAATTACCTGAGTTGCCCAAATTGCCCAACTTGTAAATGAATATTAGTTTTTTTTTTTTTTTTGCAGCTACATTATTAAATTATTAAAATTTGACTCTATTTATCTTTTTTTTTATTTTTTTATAGAATATCATTAATACCATCAAAACAAATAATTTATATAATGTAAGAGAGATACTGTTATAGTAGTCTTTACAATTTATGAGTGAAAACAAAAGAAAAAAAAGTAAGATTTTATGTTATTTGTATATATAATATATATTCAATATGATTTAATAATATAAATTACTTTAATATCATGTAATGACTAATAATTTACATATATATTTAATATTTTTATATATCTATATATGTATAATTCAGACTTCGGGTTGCTCGGGTTGTTTAACGTCTTTGCCCAAGCCTGCCCAAATTTATTTTGAGCTTCTGAATTTTTACCCAAGTTCGTACCAAATTTGAAAATATTTGTCTAAACCCTAAAAAAATTCGGACTGGACTCGGATTGCTCAGGTTGAACATGCCCAAGTTACACCCCTACCCATTACATCAATTTAAGATCCGTTTAAAAAGCAACCCCTAATTAAAATTGGATTT